CAATGTAAATGATGCCAACCAAAGGATTGCAAATCCATACCGTTCTCCATGTGGCATAAACCTGTCAGAGAAAAATAACGCCTCCGAGGAAGAGGCTGACCTTGAGCTGTGATGCTGGGCCGTAGGCTGCCTAGCATTCATTCCTGGAGTCAGAAGTGCATTTTCATTGCAACATCGCAGAACCAGCCACTTCAAGCATGAAGTGATTTTGCACTTCAGACAGGCTCCAAACTTTCCCACTGTGTACATACTTCATCCTAGCAGCCTGAAATCAGGGCGCGTGGAACGGATGCTGAATCTGCAACCACCTCATGTGGGAAAAAGGCGCCCGACCTTTGCCGTGAACCCTCCAGAGAGGCTGTGGGTCCCTGATTTCGCGCCCAACAAACTGGGCTTTGCCGCTGACTTGTGCTGCTCCAGCCCGTTTTGAGTGGCCTGGGGCGACCCGGACTGCCGGGACATGGCGGGCGAGGCAGGGAATGGGTAGGAGGATTGGTTAAAGCGAAGTAGCCGGAAGCGCTCGAGTGGTGTATTTCTTGATGACTGTGATGGTGGGTTGTTCGAAACATCTTGAATCAGGTCATCCAGAACCTGTCGTGTGGGATAATGTAGCGAATTCCTTGGCTGTATGTTGAGGCCCGCAGCTGCTGGCGACAGCTGCTGCTACCTCAACGACTGTGAAGTGTCACATTTTGCAATTTGGAAAGACCAGCTAAAGTCTATTTTTAGCTCGGACGCAAATGTTTGAGGGCTTCACCAGGCTTCTAATATGGTGGTGGCTCATGTTCTTGCGGAATGACTATGTCCCTTTTTGTCTAAAGGTGTGGTTGATGATGCTGAGTTGTGTACAAATCCTTGTGCAGCATGTTTATGCCTTGCACATCCTTGTAGCGGACCTTTGCAGAAACTTCACCGCTCGCAGCGTGTGTTTCGGTTCATCTTGAGTACACACGAAATCATGGTGGTCTTCCAAAGCCATGTCGTCAGCCTGGCCGAATCTCGCTGGCACTTGGCACGTTTTCGACCGACGCCCAGGGCCCATAGCCGATGGGGATGTCGGGGGCCGATCGAGGTTTGGCTGACACCTGCCTGGGCGGAGCCTGATAGCTCCTTTGTGCGGATGGAAAGCATGAGGGGCGAGGCCATGACAGGCGGGTTGGTCGGGCGTTCCAACGATCATTTGAAAAGTTGCATCAGCTGAATTGCAAGGGGTTCAGAGGATTTCAGGCATGGCACAGTCGGATGAAAGGCACGCTGCTGTCGGGCGATGGCCTGGTGGAAGCCGAACCTTGGCTTCGGTCGCATCGATTCCTTCGGTAAGTCTGTGCCACTTAGGTGTGCTATGTGCACTCAGGGCCTTGTTTTCAGCTTGTTCCCGAGGAAAATCGCCTCAACTCAGAGATTGAGGAGTGGCGCAGTTGCAAGTAGCAAAGGTATGTGTTGTTCTGGCCGAACATCGCTTGGGCACAGCAAGCAACCGGGGCAAGTCTAAGGATGCAGCAGAATGCCACAGCTGTCATTGAGCAGCGGGCTGAAAAGATAGAGGAGACTGGGAATTCGATGGTTGCCATTATTCCTTCTTAAGTGCAGTGGTCATCAGGAGTACCTCCAGGACACCGAGAAGAGGTACCTGCATGCTCGTAGCGCACTTTCCAGCAGCTGCTTGTCAAAAGTAAGCAAAATCCCTAATGCAGCATGCCATGACTTTTTAAAGCTGCCAGATTTGCTCGACAACGCTTATACCGAAGGGTTTTAGTGTTTTTTTGGCAACCCAGTCTTTAAACAACCGAAGCTCTTAGGAAGCCACTAATTGGCCCCATTAGCAGAAAGCTACAATCATTCCACAGATCAGGCATTTAAACAATAACATACCCAAGTCAAAGTGTGAACTACCATCAGCACCGGGTCAGTCTTGGAATCGTTGGCAAAGGTTACCAATTTGCTGGGCTTAGTCTCCACAGATCTACAGCTGTGGCTCATGATCCATGCAAGCTCATGCAAACTGGAATTGTATGAGTGTGGGCCCTATTGCATATCCTTTCAGCAGCAACAGTATCATTAAACTTCCCCTTTACACTTGGTATCAGATGGCAGAAAGTTTTAGGCACGTGTTCAAGGCAAACTGCAAGCTGGTCTGTGACTGTAGCTGGTTGCTTGGCTTTCCGGTCATGAGCGATCATTTTTAGTGAGGCTTTTTTGGGACAATTCTAGTTGCCAAGGGGTTGGACAATTCCAGGTTGAGGCTTTTGCCTCGATCCATGCCACTGGAATTCCGCGCGCCGAATTCTCTTAGCGCGAAAACGAATCGGAGGCCTCGCGAGCCTGGCGAGCTCTGTGGCTGCCAGGCCGATTCGCGGGAGCGGCTGGCAAAATGAAGGGGAAAACACTACTGGTTCTTGGAATCTGCTTGCATTGTGTTTTTTTGGTTCAAAGTTTCCCAATGATAGTGCTCGCTTTTGACAGAATATGAGTGCTGCGCACCACTTCTTGCCAACCTGGAGTTGAGCTTACTGAAGCAATGAGACTGGGGCACAGCTTTGTAGCTGCCATCCTCAAACTCACCTGGCATCAAACATGTTTCGTTTCAGGGAAAGCTGGGTAAGCATTGCGGCATGGGTGTGGCTTTCCACTGTGTGCTGTCCTGTTACCTTGGCCCAAGATGTACGCGCTGAAAGCGCATCATGTGTCGAGTGTGGAGCCTTTCCGGGAGTCTCTTGACCGAGATCTCGGATGCCAGCCTGGATGCTCTCGTGCCCGAAGGCGAGCATCTCTCCCATGCCGTGCGGCGACACCTCTCGTCGTTGCTGGGAGCTCCCGTCGCCAGCTTTAGGCAGGTGATGCTTTTGAACAAGACGCAAGAGCTGACAGACTTCGAAAGTCTCGGAGATTTGGAAGATCTACAGCTTGTGGTGCGTCCATATCGGAGGGATCAAGCAGATCTATTGGTGACAGCTGCGTCTGCCGGCAGATTGAAGCAACTTGAAGCAATATTGGACTCCCCGCAGGATCCGAACATTCAATTCAAAGGTAGAAGTGCTTTGTTTGCTGCCTCCGTGAACGGCCACGAGGAAATCGTGACTTGTTTGCTAAGCTCCAATGCGAACCAACACGCGGCACACAACGGGCTTGCTCCGCTGCACATTGCCATCGCGCAATGCCACTTGTCTATTGCGAGGCACCTACTGCAAGCAGGGGGTGACAAGGACCTACGCAATCACGACGGAATGACGCCACTGGGCATGGCGGCTAGCCAGGGCCTTTTGTCTGCAGCGCGCTTCTTGGTTGAAGCAGGCGCTGATAAGAACAAAACCAGCCACCATGGCTGCACTCCTCTGTCGCTGGCTGCTCGCAGCGGCTGTGTGGATGTTGTCCAGTATTTGCTCGAGGCCGGCGCCGATATGGAGCAGCCAAGCGCGGATGGTGCAACTCCTTTGTTGGCAGCCGTGTGTCATGGCCAATGCGAAGTGATACGCCGGTTGTCTGCGGCCCGGGCCGATCTGGACAAACCCAACCACCGCCACGGCTGCACACCCTTGGTCACATCATGTTTCATGGGCGATTTTGCTACTGTTGCCTGCCTAATTGAGGCCGGTGCCAATGTTGATGAGCCTGCATCGGGTGGCATGACACCCTTATTGATCGCAACAAACCATGACTGCTTGCCTGCGATGCGGTGCTTAGTCGAAGCAGGTGCCGACAAGGACAAAGCAAAAGAGGATGGCACAACAGCTTTGCTGCTCGCAACAAGCCATGGAAATGTTGCGCTTGTGCGGTATTTAATTGAAGCTGGGGCTGACACGAACAAAGCCAATGCAAGTGGAGCCACACCTTTGTCGCTGTCAGCCAGCCATGAGTATCTTGAGATCGTCCAGGTGCTCCTGGAAGCAGGTGCGGACACAGACAAGCCAAACCACAATGGCGCGACACCCTTATTGCTGGCCGCCAGCCAAGGCTTTGTGGATATTGCCCGCAGCCTGATGCAAGCTCGTGCCAAGACTGACACGCCCAACCGCCACGGTTTAAGGCCTCTGCAGGTGGCAGTGCTAATGGGCCATTTGGACACTGTCCGGGAGCTGGTGAAGGCGGGTGTCAAGCGGCACCGGCGATATGGCATCAGCCCGCGGATGTCAGCCTGCCTGGCGAATCACTTGCAGGTGGCACGGAGTTTGCTGGTCTTGACCCGCAAATCAAAGAGGCTTTGGGCACCCAAGGCGAAGGCGCCGGTTCACCGGGCTGACACCCGATTGAAGCACGCTCGAAAGGGGCGTCAAGAAAAAGCAGAGTGGAAGCGGGAGACTCCTCAAACACTTGAGAGCTGTATGCATGAGCATCCCTGGTACGCTTAGACAGGTTCAAGGCCTGATGCTTGATTCTGCATTGGATGAAGGCCCAGGTGTTTGCTGGAGGATCGGGGATCAGCAACACTCCGTGGACAGGTCTTGGAATGGCGTTGCTTTGTTTTTGCACTGCGGTTCTCGTTGCAGATGTGCTAGCAAGAGATCAGGCATTGGGTAGCTACATTTCAAAACTGGCGAGGGTTTCCCCTTCCATAGAGAACTGGTCGCACGTCGGCCTTAAACCTTGACCCTTCAAACATGTCATGGGCCTTCTTTCGTTGCAACTTCACAGCTGATTCAGGCTAGTATCGCGGATTCGGCCGCAGACGCCAACTGGGCAAATGCGCAATGTCAGCTGGAGCAACACAGCGAGTCTAGGATGTTCAATTAGGGTCAAGCAGCATCCCACTGCAATCCTAGCCAGCATGAAATTCTTGATGCGCCAGTTGGGATTTTGTTAGCGCATGGAGGTGGCGGCGGCTCAGCGTCAGCTCTTTCCACGAGCGCCTGGGCAAGTGCTGCTGCCCTGGCGCTGCCACTGGATGTGCAACCTGGCGAATTGGGATAGGGGATGCGGAGCCAAGGCTTTGCAGCTTGCGACAGCGGGACAATTCGCGTGAAGGATAGCGCCAAATGTAGCTCTTCGCATGATCCCTGTGCTGTTCGCAGCCATTCCTTTTGTCTCAAAGACCTGCACCTGCACTGCACAATGCCATGAGCCATGTGCTTCTTTAGGCAGATATTCCTAGTTTCACTTGTGCAGTGGTTTCACGCGTGCCAGAGTCCCTTCCAACAGATCTGAGATCAACGAACTGAAAATGGCCCCCCGAAACAAGACGGATTCCTCTAGGACAAAATCGTGCCATGTGAAGCTTTGGGAGTGGAACTGAGGAATGGCAAGCTTTCGAACTTGGCGGCCCTTTGGTCGACTACGAGTGCAAGGCCTGTCTGGTACTTCGTTTATGCAGCCTGTCTGATTCTCTGAATAGACCCGGTGGACTTAAGTCCCCAGATGGAAACATGTCCACCCACTAAAGGGCAATTCAAAGTTATGCTCACACGACTCTGCGCCATTGCATCGTTTGCCAGCCAATAAGCTACAATGTCAGGCTGGCTTTGCTGACTACTTGGATGTGCTGGACATGCCGAACGACAACGGAGGGGTCTGCGCAAGCGTTTGGATTTCCGCAGTTGGGCTTGATAAGGCTATAACGGGCCCCCAAACATAGCTGATGGGCATGAATCCCTCCTGCAGATTAAATCTTTAGGTCTTTGCGGACCTCGAAAGAGTTGCTTCTGAGTCTTGGAAGGAGTGGCGTTGAGCCGCAGTCCTGCCGTGGACGCTGTGCTGGACCAATGCGCATCCAAGGCCCGAGAGAGCCGCTTGTGGGAGCAAGGTTCCATTTCTTGACAACCCCAAGGTAGACTTAAACCCAGGGGTTTCCCTTTTGGGGAAATCGACCACCCCTGCGTTTAAGTCTACTTTGGGGTTGTTAAAAAAATGGAACCCTGTGCGGGAGCCTCTCTTTTGAGAGAGGAAGTTCAAAGCTTGTATTTGCGTGCTGGTTTTTACACCAATGCCATGTGCAATGTGCGCAGTGAACCTGGGCGAACACTTGCTTGCATCTTGCCCGAGGGATGGCCGTATCCAGCAATGGCATCTGAGCTGCATGATGTCGTCAGAAGCGAGCGCTGCCCTTGGTGTGTCAAGGACTGGTCGCCGCCGGTGCGAAACCTGAGCGCGTTTGACGCGGTGGTCCCTACTCCCCTCACGCTGGTGCCAACGGAACCAGCAGAGCCTCAAGTCGTGACCGTGGAGGTGCCGGACGTGGTCGACCAGGAGGATGTGCGGTCACGTTGACACAGTGCTTTTTTACTGGGAGACCTCTCATATCGCATTTTGGGCAGGATGTGCGCTCAAAATTGTGAACACCTGCATATTGAACTCGATACGCGTGCGCCCCATTTTTGAGCCCAGAGGAAACCACTCATTTTATGGGGCTCCCCTTTTTGAACACAAGTTGGCTATTCCATCTCGCGATTCATGCAACCTGCGCAGGAGATTGAGCCGACACCTTCGAGCCCGAGCCCTCCAAAAGACAAGGGCACAACTCTGGACCGTGGGTGCCGTTTGTTTGATGGCACGCCGTTCTGAGGGACAAGAAAGAAGCCACCCGGGTTGCGGGGTCCAGAGACGAGTTGTTTGAAACAACTTGTGCCAGAGAGATGACGTTTGGTTGCGCAAGGATATTGACCTGGACACGCTCACCGATGACGTGACGGACTGACGAAGGGTTTCTCATTTGCGACTGAATCCTGCATTTTGTGGGTTGGCCATCTCTAGCATCCTGCAAAGCGTAAAGCATGGACGTTGGCCAAGCAAATGCCCTGCTTGGGAACACGATACCTTCGCATGAGCACTTATTGGCTTGCACATCCTGAAGCGCACTTGTTGCGGCCGACCACCAAGCAGAAACTCATGACATAGCCTGGCCAATTCTCTTTTGTGAAAAGGCCATCCCAAGAGAGGCAGAGCGACCGGCTGTTTACTTCTTGGGGGCCCTGGCAGGAGGCGTCCAAAGAAGCCATTGTGCCGAAAAGTGTGCAGATTGTGCAGGCCGGAGTGATCATTCGGTGGTTCCCTGGTGGCTAAAGAAACTGAGAGAGTATAGGAGACTAAGAGGTGAAGAAGTTGACCATTGATCACATCTCCTTGAGCGCCTCATGATCAACATTGTGTTCAAAAAGTTGAATTGGTTGCCATACATAGTCTTGCGTATCGCTGCAGCTAGGTTTTTTCCTGAACTTCATTTGGTTTGTTTGACAGTTGCCGCCTTTGAGCCTTCTGTGGCTTGTGGGCAATGTTGGGACGGGACAACACTCGGGTTCCACTGTAGGTACATATGTTTGACCAGCCATATCAGTTCATGATTGGTGGGTTCCATGTTAGGCACCATTTTGGGGTAGGTGCACCACCCATTTTAGTCTATTTTAGTGGGGATTGGGATGTTCGCTGGGGGTACGATTTGGATTTTGACCCATGGCCATATCTTTGTCCATTGCTGACGCTTGTGCATGTTTGGATCTCCAAGTGCGCCAGATGCCGGAGCCGGTGACCGAGCGCCCGGAGAACCTGGAAAGCCAGAGCCAAGGGAAGGGCCAGGCGCGGAGTGAAGGGACGTATGGTTTTTGAAGGCAGGGAGTTTGACTGTGGAGATTTAGTCTATGCTTTTTTGGAAATAGCGCTTTAAGTTATTTCATGTCTGCTTTTTTCAGTTGCTTGCTTCAGATATGTTGCCTTGACGACAGATATTTTAACGCCTCCGGCTCAGGCCGCCGACATTGCAGGCCTGCTTTCTTATTTGCGTCCCTTTGGAATTGTCCCTTGCCCCCTTCCCCTCTAAGATCATCCCCCCCGTCCCCCCCTGAGCTCTTTTCCCCCTTTTCCTCCCTAAGATCTTTTCCCCCCTTTCCCTGTTGAGATCCTTTCCCCCCTTTCCCCCTTCTGCGATCTTCTCCCTTTTCCTCCCTAAGATCTTTTCCCCCCTTTCCCTGTTGAGATCCTTTCCCCCCTTTTCATGCTAAGGACTTCCCCCCCCCCTGAGATCTTCTCCCTTGTCCTCCCTAGATCTTTTCCCCCCTTTCCCTGTATAGATCCCTGCCCCCCTTTCCCCCTTTTCCTTCCCTGAGATCTTCTCCCTTTTCCTCCCTAAGATGTTTTCCCCCCTTTCCCTGTTGAGATCCTTTCCCTCCTTTCCCCCCTTTCCCCCCTTTCCCCCCTTTCCCCCTTTCCCCCTTTCCCCCCTTTCCCCCCTTTCCCCCCTGTCCCCCCTTTCCCCCCTAAAACCTTTTCCCCTGTGAGATCTTCCTCCCTAAGCTCTTTTCCCTTTCCCTGTTGAGATCCTTGCCCCCCTTTCCCCCCTAACAAGTTCCCCCCCCCCCCCCGTGGCAGGGAAGATTACGTACAATGTGCCGCCGCGCGCCTTCAAGAGCAGAACGGCTCATTGTTGCACATGGACTCTTTTGGTGCAATCCCAAGAGTAGAAAGGAATGTCTTGGCATGCCCCACCCTGAAAGAACCAGCTAGTTTGTAGTAATAGAAAAAAAAGGGTGAGGGGTGATGAAGACCAGATGAACATCCTCTCTTTGGTTGTGAGAGAGTGTGATAAAAGCACACGGTATACCTTCGTGAAGTAGTATTAATAGAAACAAATAATGATGTCCTCCTATCTATCACTTCCATATTTTTTCTAAATTAAACGTTTGCTAGCTCACCAAGATAGAGCATGGAAATGGAAAGAGGAAAATGTTAATCAAATGATTAAAGCCACAGTAACAGATAACAGAGTTAGAGAAGATCGAATGTCAGTGAGGAAGAAGTAAATAGTAAACAAATGCTGGTCAAATAAACATAAAAGGAAAGAACAATCAGAGAGATATAAAAAGGGTCTGGAGACGTAGCCTGTCCGTGAGACGTCACGTAAGCAATAATAACAGTTAAGCGTCTCTTCATTCATCACTCTATTTGGACAGGCAATATTCTGATGAGAAAACTATTAACTTCCTTCGGTCACTTCTAGCGATGAAGGGAGGCAAAAGGAAACCCCTTAAAAAGAGAAGGTGAGAAATAAACCCCAATCGATACAAATTAGTTAACATTACTCATGAGATTCTAGTAAATAAATAGCCTTTCGTAAATAGTGTTCCGTCCTTCTCCAGCAACTTGAACTATTAATATCCTTTTCATTCTCACCTAAAACTCAAGAATATTGCACATATCTAATGATACAATAGGAAGTGAGTGAGAGATTTTGCAAGGAAATTCTAATAGAACAAAAGCAGAAAGAAGATACAACTAAATAAACTCCATGAGTAAAGACCAACAGCCTCTTCAGAGTCAAGCAAACTATCTATGGTTATAATTTGTGTTTATTCTTCATCATGCACTAATATCTTCTCCAATATATTTGTGTAAATGGGATGAAGTGGTCACGGGGTGAATTTAAAGGCAATAATTACAGAATCGTTGTAATCTCATAGCTTACTGCGTTTTATTATCTTATTGCGTTTTCTATCATATCCATCATTGTCCACTCTAGGTTTTTCACTGTGTTGGAGAGGGTTCTTGATGGACAAGAATAATTTGTCTCCCAATAGACCGTTTCATTTATTAACATTCTTTATTACTTTCATGTTCTTGGTTCTGTCATTTGCCTATTGATTTATTTATTTATTATGTATCTATTATGTTTCTTCATAGGCCTTTTTCGTAATTCTTACTAATCCTGATAGCCGCGAAAGACGGGAGAGCAGAAGGAGTGTTAGCCAGTTCCTCTTCTTCATATTTGTTATTACCCCCCGGGTTTTTTCCCCCATCCAGATGCCTCCAACGTTTACAATGCGAGAGAGAGAAAGAGAGATTGGGAAGATAGATAAACAAGTAGAAAGGTTGCAAAGTGAACAAGTACATGAGAATGCAACCAGCAGATGAGAGACTATGAACCTATTCTTGGTAATGATTAACTTTCTGTTCCAACCATCGTGATTTTCTTTACATCGCCAATTTTTCAACCTCACACCCAGAAGCATTTCTATACTTCTCAGATAATATTGTAAATGGAAGACAACAAAGATAGACATTCAAGCAATAAATGGGATGGTAAACCGAAAGGCAATGATCTTAATAACGACATGTCCATCCACAAATGTTTCCTGGATGAAGTGGAAGAGATAGAAAGGGAAGGATACAAGCTCTTGGGACCACAAACCAACCTCTCTTCCTCCGTGACTTGGACAAGGAAGGACGTCAACGATGAGAAGAACCCAGTCCTTACACCATCCTATGATCTAAAACTCTATTATTGTCCTTTCATTTCCAGAAGATTATTAGCAAAAGAGAGAGACCGCTAGCATTTGCTATTAAAAAGGTTTTAAGGATTCTGTAGTCAAATCTTTATGGGTTGAAGATGTTGGTGGGTGACATACATGGGAAAATCAGGATGCGATCGGAGGAAAAGAAAGAATCACGTTACTTCTGTTCACCCTCTCCTATCTTCTCTTCTTCTTCTTCCCAAGCATCACACGGCATAAGATTAACAGCAGCCTGTGCTTGAGGAAGAAGTCAAGAGAGGCTTCTCACTTCCCATTTTCAATCTTCAATTTCATCAAAAGGAAAGAAAGAAGTGATGGAAAGACATGGTAAGTGCCCATCCAATTCGGTATCTTCAATTAGTATTGATGGGCGCTTACCTCCTTGCCAGACGCTTTACTTCTTCATTTCCAAAACATGGCAATGTAAAAGACAAGGCAAGGAAAATGACAAGCGTTGGCTGGGCCGGGAAAGGAAAGGTCATCTTCTTCCATCTGTGTTTTTACAGAAAGAAGCGGGTTGTGGAAAGTGGCTTTCTTTTTCTACAAATAAACCAAAAATAAAGCCAATATCCCCTTCCTTCGTCCCACTTTTAGACTGTTCCATCGTGAGTCTTTCGTAGTGACAGAACTCCAGAACGTAGTGGGGAAGGGAAAGGTAAAGATGGAACGGTTGATCTCCTTCCTATCTTCTCCCCACTAGCGATACAGTTGGAGAAGAAGGAACGGGGGGGCTAGCTTCTCCCTCCTTCCTTCACCCCTCGATTTCTGGCATTCTTCAACGGTTGAAAAGGGAAACAGAAGAAGGGGAAGGATGAAAGGTCCAAAAGATAGTAAAACACAAGCAAAATAATATGAGTAAGACCTACTCATAATCTTTTTTCCTTTCGGTGAGCCCCAGCGACGACCGGACAGCCAAAAGCATTCACAAAGAAAGATAGCGCAATGAATCTCAACAAGGGAAGAATAAAATAGAAAAGAACGAGGAATGTAAGTATGGTTTTAAGATTAGAAGCATGTATTAGCACGCAATAAATTAGATAGCTTCTGTAAGCACCACCCATAATTATCTTTAGCTTTGTCATAACTGTCTCGCGCCCTTTTTATGTTGTTAGCTTGTATAAAACAGGATTTTGAAAAGAAAGGGAGGATATTACGTTTTCTACCGTAATTATTACTGCCTGCAAATGCTTTCGTCACTTCTTGCCCATCCATAAATGCAAATAAAGGATGAGGATGGATGGACAAGAGGAAACAGGCAATGATTTGGAAGAGGCCCCAAAGACAGGCTGGAAAGGGATAGTGAGGGAATCTTCAATCATCATATCCTCCAAGTCTCACGGACAGGCTATCTGGTGTATTCTGCGTGATGTCTGGGCGGAAGATTTTCTTAATCATTCTTTGTTCTTTCACACCTTTCCCTTTCCCTTACCTTCATCGATTGGTCTAACCTGGTATGCGATAAAATCTCTGAGATACAAATGAATCCATCCCACAATCCCAGTCGCCTTTCCATGTCTTTCTATTTGTACGGTTTTCTCCATCTCTTTCTCCATCAGGTATGTGTGGTATGAAAGTTATCCAAAAGAAGCGTGTTGCAGAAGATGTCCTCTCTCCTTTACCTATCTTATGTTTATTTCTTTATCCCTGTCTTTTCCATCCTAGTTTATTGAGTTGATTGTAGGAAGAAATGGTCAGGGGAGAGAGTGAAAGATAAAGAAAGGAGTATGAATTCGAGATCCTAAAGAAAAACAAACACATGGAAATAACAGAAAAGAGAGATTCCAAATGAAAAGATAATATGCTTTCCTCCCCATTTCCTTACCAAACTTCAACCGATTCAAAATGAAACAAACTTGACCCAAAAAAAGCCGTTAAGGGAAGGACGGTGATCAAGTTTTATCAAGTTTACAATGTTCACACCTTTACTTGTAATTTGTGTAATTCTGGACCGACTTTTTACAAACTAGCTTGTGCAATTTGCAACCCCCGAGCAATGTTTGTTCAAACCCAGCTTGTAATTCTAAATCGGATGTTTGCTGACATTGAAACGTACTCTGGGGAATTTGCTTTCCGGGGAGATTTGGCTGGAGTTACATTACAAGTTATACACATTTTGCAGATTAGTTTCTGAACTATGCCAAATTCCAACAAATATGGTTAACAATTAAGCATTTCACAAAATGTCGCAAGTACATGTGCAAAAAGTGAAATTTCCAGATTTTACAAATGAATTTGCAAAATTTGTGAAATATAAAAAATCTGGCCCAAAATTACAAATTTTACAAATTTTAC